GGGGGGGGGGGGGGGGGGGGGGGGGGGGGCTCACCGTGGGACCATCGATTTTCCCGCGGCCAGACCCTCGCCCCCCTGGCGGCCGATCGGCCCTAGAGGGGAGCTCTTACCAGAGGAACGCTGATTTGCTGATGCTGCTGTTGATGGTGATCGGTGATGTTGATGAGGATGGCGTTGATGATGAGGACGCGGATCTCGCCGATGATTTTCGAAACCCCAGGAGGTGGCTCCATCGCCGGAGAATCGATTTTCCCGCGGCGAGACCCCTCCCCCCCCGGGGGAAGACCGATCGGCCCAGAGGGGGGGTCCTACCACAGGAAAGCTGATTTTCCGGCAATAAGACCTCCCATTAGGGTCTTACCGCGGATTTTGCCCCACAGGGGGGGGGTCTTACCGCGGGGGCATCGATCGCCCAGCGGCGGGGCCACCCGGGGGGCCGATCGGCACTTGCTAGGGGGGGGAGGCGCTGCCACAGAAACATCGATTTGCTGATGCTGCTGTTGTTGGTAGACGTGATGCTGATGTTGTTGATGAAGATGCTGATGATGATGAGGGCGAGGATGAGGATGATGTTGATGATGAGGATGGGGAAGGCGAGGGCCTTGCCGGGGGTTCTCGGCCCCCGGGAAGGAAGTCTTACTGCGCGAGAATCAAATGTCCCGCGGCGGGGCCTGCCCCCGGGGGGGCGATCGGCCGCCGGGAGCTTTCGGCCGCAAGAAAATCAGCTTTGCCGCGGTAAGACCCCCCCCCATCCAGGGGGGGCCCACCAAGAAATTTCACCCCCCGGGGGGGGGCTCCCATTACGGGAAAATCGATGTTCCCCGCGGTCAGACCCCGCTCCGGGGGCCGATCGGGCCCATGGGGGGCCCTTACCACAGGAAAATCGATGTGCTGATGGTTGTGCTGCTGATGATGGCGTTGATGATGATGATGGGGGTGTTGTTAATGATGGTGAAGATGAACCGTCAGGTTCGAACAGGACTTCCGTTCGAACCGCCCGGATCGAACAGAAGTCTTGTTCGAGCCTCCAAGCTCGAACAAGACTCCCGTTAGGGCCGCCGGGTTCGAACTGGCATTCCGCTCGAACCGCCGAGTTCGAGCAGTAATCAAGTTCGAACCGACAGGTTCGAAAAGAAATCCGCTTCGAACAGCCAGGTTCAAACGGGGACCCCGTTCGAACCACCAGGGTCGAAGAAAGATCCCGTTCGACCCGCGTCGCGCGAACGACGGCCCTTTCTTCGAACCGCTGGATTCGGGGGGGGCATCCTGCTCGAACCGCCAGGCTCGGACGAAAACCCGGCTCGGGCCGCCGAGTTCGAGCGGGCATCCTGTTCGAACCGCCAAATGAAAACAAACGTTGCGTTCGAATCGCCAGGTTCGAAGAGACATCCCGTTCGAACCGCCAGGTTCGAACAGATGTCCTGTCCGCGTCGCCGCGTTCGAACAGAATGCTTATTTCGAAAGCCTCGCCAATCTCGTCGGCCAAAGCCCGGGGGTAGCGCGCCGCCGCCTTCCGGGGCCGACGCGAGCGCCAACTTCGGACTGCGCGCGAACGAAGGCCAGCATAATGCAGTTCTAACGCTTCGTTGAACAAACAATAGGCGCCGCGGCGGAACGCGCATCCTGCGCCTCAGGCAACTGCCGCCTCTCCCTGGGCGCAGCCTCGGTCTTGGCCACCAGGCAGTCGTTCAGGCTCAAGCAATCGCGCAACGTGACCATGTTAACCAAACATACTGCGCCGTCGAAAGAGGTTCCATACTTTCCGCCTGGCCCAACGCCAGCCCCAGCACCTGCGCCGTCGACGGTGCCCCGCGCGCGCTGCCCGCCCAACAAGTCGGCTTTTCGCGAGATCTTAAGCGGGGCTGAGCGCGCCAAGGGCAGAGGCCTTTCCGAACCCGCTTCCGAGCTTGAGTTGCCGTCGTTGATGCGGGGCGCCGGCGGTTGCGCCATGTCGTCTGTCTTCCTGCGCTGGCGCAGCGCCAAGGCCGTCGAAAGGACAGCGCTGGGCGCAATGTATTCCAGACCCTCAACTGTGCCAGGTGGCTCGGGCAACCGCGCGGAGGCATTGTCGAGCGCGTTCACGGCGCGCGTGCACGCGCGCCCCCCATCTGACAACCAACGTTTGACCCTCGGGCTGGGCCTCTGCGCGGCTCGCAAGCAACCGACGGGCATCTGCGCGGCCGGGGCCCTGCGACATAGCTGCGCGGGCATGGGTCCAAAACCTGTTGCGACGCGCCCGCATCTGCATTGTGAACCGGCGGTGCGTCTGCCAACGCCAGCCACCGCGTTGCCCGCAAGCTTTTCCCCCTTCATGTGCGAACTGCGCCGCCTGACTCGCTTGGGCGGCGGGGTGTCGACCGAAGGTGCCTGCGCGAATCTTCGCGCGCGTCTCGGCTGACAGCTGGGATCCTCGGCTAAGCCCCCCGCCGCCTCCTCGGCCATGCACCTCGCGGCCGTGGCCCCTGCGAAAGGCCCTGCCTCGACCTCTGGCCCTGCCTCTGCCGCCTGACACAACGGCAGGCGCAGGCGCTGGCCCGCGCGTCGGTTGCCTCCAGCTGCATCAGCGGCCGCCGCCACCAGTCCAACCAACATGCGCCATAACTGGGTGCGCGCGTGCACGAATTAAAAACTGGAGCCGCCGGAACGCGGGCCTATAGGCAACAGAAACGACGACACTGGCCATGCAAACGGGGGATCCTACCATATCCCTGGCAGAAATATCACGGCATGGGGAGGGCACCCGCAATCGAAATTGATCACTGTGTCTCGCTATCCTTGCGACTGCGCACGGGTCAAAGAGGAAAGCAAAAGGAGGGGCAGCGGGGATGAGAAAGAGTGAGCAGGGGCAGAAGAAGTAACTAAAATGAGAATGGGGGAAGGACGAACAGACAAGGGGCACGGGCGGAGAGAATGTGGACGCACCCCTCGCCGAACACATC